GCATGTGCAAAATTGTAAAAACTACTTGTTTTCTTATCTCTACCATCCTATTTTTGTATACACTTTTTATAGACAAAATACATAGATTTTCAAAGAGGTTCTTGCGGAGTACCATAGATGTTTAGGATGCTAATACCTTCCCTTTGCATAACCAACTCCCGTACCTAGATTCTCTCCCCTCTCTTTTTTGGGTTTATTCGCTATTTTCTCATTTCCTTTGGAAATAATAAAGCACGGTGGAGATTTTTATTTTGATTTATGCGAGTTAAGTCAATCAAATGAATTAGCCTCAACATTTCTACCACTACACCCGTTGCAAGGTGAAATATCGACTAAGTTATGTGATTCTAGGTACCTACTTATCAGAAAACTCTAGTGCTAACCTTGTGAGTTTTTTTGGTAAAAATATTAGAGCTATCTCATTAGGGAGCCCTCCTAAATAGGTTGTTCTAGTGTTACTCGTGTTATCCCGAATCTTTACCATCACAAACCCATTCATGACATTGCATCACATATCATCATGAAAACATTATTTAAACATATAAAAAGTTTGGTTTTAGGGAATCAAAATATATGAAGTTATCTGCATAACATCAAAAAGTAAGCATGAGTTCAGACAAGAGAAAAACCTTGCAGTTGAAAGCCAAAATGCCTAATTTGGAGAATTTGAAGAAACTCAGAACAAGTTACCTCCTTACTTTAGAGTTACTTTTGAGGGTAGATATGGAAAGATCCTATACATTCTCTCCATCAAGGTTCAACTCAAGGTTATCACTGCTTTAGCATAGTTCTATAATCCCCCACTTTGAAGCTTCTTGTTTCAAGATTTTCATGTGTCAAAACATTCAAAGAACGAGTCGACCTGTATAGGTTAGTGTGTCGACACATGCATTACATAGGCTACAAGCTTTAAAAATGAACTACATGTGTCGAATCAAAACTCATATATGTCGACTCATAGAAGAATTTTTCTTCTATGTGTCGACCTGAAAGATATTATGTGACAAGACATTCAAACAGAGGCTACAGACTTTAAAAATGATCCACATGTTTCGGCTCACAACATGTATGTGTCGACATATATACCTATTTTTCACATAATTTTTTTTAATGCATGAATACTTTTCCAAATAACTCCAAACCACTTCTAAGATGTTTTATGCTTCCTAATTCTAAGATGCACTTCAAGACTCAAATGATACTGTTCAATATACATAAATGCTAAAATGTCTTAGTTTTGACAACATACAAAACATCTCTAATAGAAAGGTGTACTCACAAAGAGGTGTTGGAAATATCATGTAATTTGATGTGGAATTCACAAATATATTCATCTTCATTCATCCTCATTCTTAAATATAGTTGTAAGGAGTTGCAACTTTGACATACAAACTCTGGATTTGCCTTCATGTGCAGTTTTAAGAATCTCATATGCTTATTTTTCCTATAAACATGTGTTGATCAACTTGAACATGTTATTGTCCACACCATTGTAAATAACATTCAAAGCTTTAGAGTTTCCAAGAGCTTCATCATCTTCAGCATTAGTCCAATCAGCTTCTGGTTTCAAACTGGTTGTACCATCTTTAAAAGTAACCACTTGATGTTTCCACCCTTTTATCACAACTTTCCATGCTTTGTTTCCAATGGATTTGACAAAGATAATAATCAAAGACTTCTAATAATCATAGTTGGTGCCATCCAAAACAAGTGGTTTGTTGATTGATCCTTCATCTTTCATTGGGTCTATTTGAGCAGAGTTTATCTTCCTTGGAGCTCAACCAACAAACTAGGGTGCATGCTTTGATGCCAATTGAAATTTGTTCCTTAGAGGACAAATTCCAAACCCGATGTACTAGCAACTGGTTCAACAAGTTAAACCAGAATCACCATATTTAACAAAATATAACTTGTACTAGATGATGGAACATAAAAACAATAAATAACACAACCAAATGATAACTCAGTTTGATGCATACAACACCTACATTCGGAGGGTTGGCTTCCAACCCAAGAAAGGAAAATCACTTATTATTAGTTTAGTAAACTTATTCTTACAAGCAACAACAAACCCTGTGTTTTTTAACGCGTCTTCCTAACACTATCCAATGACTTTGTATTTAGGACTCCCCCTAAATATGAGACATCGTCTCGCTTTATTTTCTCTCAAACACTAATCCCTTAGTTTTTTCAATCACTAAACCCTAATGGTCAACTTCAGTCAATAATATGAATTATGTTGAATTTATAACTCAACTAGACAAACCTACAACTACGCCAAGTTACTGAAACATAATATGGTGTACCTAAAATAACAAGGACTCTAAACAAATCCTGTCACTCTAAATATTTTCAATGTGATGCATGATTTCTAATGTAGGTTTTGAGCTCCTTATATATCATAATTAATCTGGGTTTTTCTTCATGGATATTTGATTTGATTTCATCCTAAAATAATGTAAAATTTGTTGGATATTATTAGTTCCACAAATATCTCAAACAAAAAGATATGATTTGGTTTGTTTCAAATTCAAATTTAAATCTCTATTTAAATCTTATTTGATCTTTACAGTTGTACAAAAAATAATATTATTATATTTCTAAATCAATAGTAATAAAACTTATCCAATCTTTGACCAGAAACTCTTTCAAAACGCAGCAACATTGACCTGTTGTGCAAGGCCTATATGTCGTATAAATATGTTGGGACATTATGTCCAGCATGTATTCATTATGCATCTCCCTAAAACTTAAGCAAGTTAGATTAATCTTGAAAACTTTGAACACTTATTCATGTTGTTGTTTTACAAAATGCAGTCAATTCAAAGAGACAATCTAAAAGGAATTACATAAATAAAGAGGCTCTTTTAAAAATAATGATTTACCAAATTAAATTTTTCTCTCTAGACTTTTGAATTCAAACCAATATTTTTTGTAAGCCCAACCATGTTACAACAAATAAAAGGCTTTAGTGGTCCATGAATGATATTATTTATTGTGATATTTCCTAGATAAAATTCAAAATGTTTCTATAGTTCATGCATCGTCCAATTATAAGAGAAACACTATCCATTAAGAGAAACTCTATAAGATCATACTTTTGATGAATAATTAACTGTTGATTTAGACATGTTTTAAAATCTCACTTTAGTCAAGCTAATAATTTATCTTCATGCTATGGTTTATAGATATTTATAATGTTGATCTTGAACCTGCATTTGAAAGAATATCATGTCATTCAAATACTTTTTAAAAACTTTTGACCTAGTCTTTCAACCTTTTCATGAAACATGCATTAGAAAACATCTAAACCATCTGAATGGATTTTTATAAGGATAAACAAAAAGATAAGTTGGGGAGAGTTGATAAGTGTCAGAATTATATAAAATACTTAGGCACTTATTGATAGTTACAGGGTGAGTTTTCATTTTATAACCTATAAGAAAGTAGGTGTGCTAGGCAAAGATGAGAGGTGCGTCTAGCGAGCCTACCTTTCTCTAGCCTATAAATAGGAGGTTCAAATCGAGTTCTCAGGGAGTTTCGGTGGATATAAGGGAGTATAAAAAGGTATTAATTTCACATTGATCTCAATACGAGAATACGAAAGGGGAATTACAGGCAGAAGCGGTACTCGCAGTGACACTTGCAGATAGCTCTTTGAACTTGTCTTCTCATAATTAGTTGAACAATTACAATGAGTAAGTGTAGCTATAAATGTCTTTTTTAGGGGGTATATATAGTGATTTCATATTCACGTTTCATTCGGTCATGTCGTTTTATGTAGTTATACTTAACCTTTAACATTGATGATTCTTTGTTCTTAATTCTTACTTTAGATTAGTCATCTAAAATATGTTTTCATGATGCAGATTGACAAGAGAAACATGTTGGTTGTAAATATATTTAAGTCTCCATCTATTGGGTGCTAAAGAATAGACGTAAGATTAGGTTTAATGTCCGCGGAATATTCATAATTAGTAATCTCAATATCTTTATATCATTGTTGGAACATAATGTTGTTGTATTTAATAGTGTGAGATATCACCTATTAGGTAATTCAATTGATCTCACGCCGTTGAGTCAGAAATGAGATATGATGAGAGAAACACACAACAATATTAATAGTTGAGTAGAAGAGTGTATTGCTAACTAATAACTTAGACATGAGTGTAATTGACGAAATCTACCCTTAGCAAGTTTTTTCACTTGTAACACTGAAATCTCCATTTATTTTGTCATTTACTTTTCAGGAACCAAACACTTTTAAACTCTTACTTAAAATCTTTAAAATTGTTGAATTTGTCTTTAAACACCAGGAAACTCGTGAATACGATAATATTACACTTACTAACGTATACTCGTAAAAGTGTGAAATAATAATGATATCTTAATAGGTATACAAAATGCTTTAGTGTTTTATCTACTCGACTTTGAGAAATCTATTCTTTTTTTTAACCAATAGAGAGAAGAGAGTCATTGACCTTCCAGTGGTGAACTCTTAGTAGTTCCCCTGGAGAATGGTCTTTTGTTGCTTGTTGGTGGTTTTATTCGGGTGAGAGCTGCTCTTTCCTCTCTTTAAGAGGTATCTTGCTCGAGGTTTTTAAAGTTGATCCATTTAATTGATTTTTCTTTGGGTTTGCTATCTTGTTTGACCTTGTTTATTTTTGTTTCTGTTCATTGGATCTTCGTTTTGGTACTTCTTAAGCCCAACTTGTTCTCGTTGAAGTTGAGACCTTCTATTGCCTGAACCATTATGCATTTATATATAAATATTTTTCTATTAAAAAACATTTCCCTAAATTTAAATCAGCCTAATAATATTGCAATGATGGAAGAAACTTAATTTCTCATTTCTTAAATAAATTGTAACAAAAATAAATCATCTATTAAATAAACAAACTACTCCCTTTGGTCAAAATATAAAAAAAAATATATTCAATTCAATGTACATTATTGGTTTAAAGCACTCTTAATTACTTTTACAATTGGACCTTCATCATATGATTGAACATTCAAAACATGCTTCACTTAACCACCAACCAAATATGATGCAACATTTGTTTCTTCACGAGATGAATTATTTATGGATTTTTTGTATATCATCATATTCTTCAGCAGCTTCTTTGATTGTCTCCAAACTAGGAGAACTTGAAGGTTTTCTTGGGAAAATTATGGCTGCAGGAGCAACCTCCATCCAAGAATTTATATTTCTTATTCCTTTTACCATTGATGGGGATAGTATAAATTGTTGAATACCAAACATTTATAATAGAAAAATAAATTTAGTTAGTTTCTCTCCTCCTCCTATATATCTAGAAAGAAGAGAGTCTTTTAAGAGTTTTTTGAGGATTAGGATTGGTTTGAACATTTGTGATGTGTGTCAATTAGGACTTAGTATTTATATGTATGATAAATTTAGAGAAGCTATTAATAAGGAGGTAAAGTTACGAATTAAAAGGAAGGAATATAGGAAGAAGAAGATTGATTGGAGGGAAATGTTACACGTGTGAATAAGATCAAAAATGATTCTTGACATATTCTTAGGAAGTTTCTATGACAATTTAGTGTTTTCTAATTGAGGAGCGAAAAATTAAACTATGTTTTAGAATCAAAATGCACAATTGATGGAGCACCATCCAAAAGGTCCTACACCACCTAAAATAATGGTCATTACATCAACTCCTATTTTTTAATTGCAACAAAACTCCTATGTTTTCTCATCACCGACAAATATTGTATTGTTTATTTTGGATACATGACTTATTTAATTTTACAACCGAACTTAATTTTATAATTTATAGTAGTATTTTTTTATTTTAAAGAAGTCAAATTATATTAATTCAATAGGTGAAAGTCGATAAGAGGTCTTGCGTTCGAATTCAGTCCTGCATATTCAGTAGTGTTAAAGTTTTTGAAGGAGAATTTTATTGTATATTATAGTCCTCTCTGACTCGAGATTGAAACTCTATATTTTTTAAACATGCAATGCAAGAAGTAAAAACTAAAAGCAAGGCAATAAGAAGAGATCTAAGATACGAAAGTTCGTTATACAAAGAAAATGTATTAGCAACATATGTATCTGTAGTACTCTATATGAACCTCTTATAATATCTATTTTGGTTAAAATTGTGTGTTTTCTAAAATAGTGTGGAGATGGGAAAAGAAGTATATTTTAGGATATTTTGTTTGGAAAGACAGAGCCTTATACATACATACGTACTAATGAATAATCAAAACCTCGTAGTTCATGGTAAAAATAACAAAAAGGTTTGTTGTGGTTGATTTTAGAAGAAGAGATATTTCATCATTTTAAGAAGAAAACTCAACTAATACCACCACAAGTATGAGAAGATGGATCTTGCATCATCATAAAGGAAGAACTACTAACTAAGATATAAGATCAACAAGTTGCCACTAATTTCCTTATGTAGAAGGAACCAACATTTACTCTAATCATTACTATAGGGATAGGAGAATCATGTCTCAACCATGAAGATAATTTATATCTAATCTCTTTGAGAAAATGTTTTAAATTGAAAAGTCAAACGGCAAAAATATTTGAGTGAGGTTGAATCACTTTTATTCTTTTGAAATTGTTTTGATATGCTTAAGTATATTGAAGCATTTTTGTTAAAAAAGAAGGTTTTGAAAATGCGATGACACAAAGTCAATGTTTCTTATGAAAGTGGTGAAAGTTTAAAAATAAGTTTTTAGAGTTAAAAGGTTTTAGAGTACATAAGAATACATAGGGTAAACACCAACAATTGTAAGGATAACACACAAGGGTACACCTAAGACAATGCACATGACTTATAAAGTCAACAATACTATCCATTTCCTTGGATTTGTGACACAAATATTAACACAAATGTATAGACATTAATCACACATCACAAAAGGTGAGAACAAAATCACAAAGGTAATATGGCCTTTTAAAAAAAAGGTCTAAAAAACTCAAAAAGTTTAAAAGAAAAATACTAAGATTAATCAAACTAAAGAAACTATCTTTTTGGATTTTTTTATACTCATGCAAACAAAACAAAATAAAGTCAAGACATGATTAAATAAAAATAATAAAATATTTCTTATATGTTTTTTTAATATTAATTTACATAATATAATCAAGAAATGAAAAGATAAAATAAACAAATAAGATATACCAAAAAAGAAAAGAAAATAAGCAAGAAAAACAAAAATGGTCTCAGGAAATTGATTTTCCAGAATAGGATAATCGATTTCCTCTTCACTGCAGATCAAAAACAGAAGCGTGGTAAAACAAAATTTAGTTATGGAGATCGATTACCCCATATTGGAAAATCAATTTCATGTACGAAAATTTGAATTTTCTGGTTTTTAAAACAACATCGTCTTCTACCTCAAGTTTTCAAAAATGGCAACCTTCTCATTTTTCGACCAAATGTAAAAGTGTAAACATCAAAGATGCTTAGATTTTCACAAGTATCTCAAAAATATAAACATCATAAATTAATACGGACTGTAGCTCATGGGTTTTTGATAAAACTAGAAACCCTAACAGTTTTCAAAGTTAGATTAAATGCCATATAAGCTCAACCAATGCCTAATTTCATAGGGCTTCATATCACACCAATCATATGAACATAAATGTATCAAGAACGAGTGCAAATGGTAGCTTAAACTATAAGTTAAAAGTTCAAAAACATTTACCAAACAGAGTGATTTTGTACCCCCTTTAAAAGATGTTCCAGTAGCAAATGAATGATCATATTAGCTTCCTTGAACCTCCCTTTAGCTATTGATATGCTTACTTTACTTTTAAACAAGCTCAATCTCTCTAACCAACTCAATATGAAAACTCAAAAGGTGAAAAATGGAGGTATTGATTAGGTGGTTACATGAGTAATCTTAAGGTTATAGTAGCTTCTATATGATGTATGGAAGGTGTTTTGATGGTTTGTTTGCAAAGAACTTGCAAGGGTTGGGAGTTTGGTGTTTATGGTATGAAAACTTGCAACAATGGAGTTTTTATGAAATTTTTGGTGTCTTTAGTTTTGAGGCTTGGATCTCTATTTATAGAGGTTTCAAATGGTTCCTCTAACTTGCAAAAAAAAAAACAATCTTAGTTCACATGGAATGGTAGTTTTCTCACTTGGTTTCAACTTGCACAAAAATGCATGTTTGATTATGATGAAAAGGTGGAGTGAAATGAGGAAGATATGCATAATTTTCCTTAGCTTAGAGGATTTATTTTTGGCATAAGATATTATGTGAGCTTATTAGAAGCAAAGTGCATTCTTGAATGAAGAGTTGTTGGCAAAAATATTGCTTTATAAAAAGGGAAATGTGACCTTTTGCAAAATGCTCCAAAAATGGTGTGTGGATTGGGTAATGCTTCAAGATCTTGTGTAATGCATCAAATGTTTGTGTAAATTTCTGATTATGGAGAGATTTATAAGTAAAGGGACCTGCAAAACAAGATCATGTGGGATTTGGTTGGAGATTGCATATGAACTTGTCATAAAATGGGACTCTAAATTCAGCTTTGGATGTTAATTTCAACTCTTCGAAAATCTTAGCTCAAGTATCATATTTTCATGCTCCTTGACATTTTGGAAAGCTTGAAATATCCTATACAACTTTCATGTTGAGCACTTGGACTGGATCAATTGGGATCTTGGTTAAAATGGATATAAAGTCAGCTACTTGACAAGGTCAGAATGCTGGAAAATATGTGTTGGTTAATGAAGCCATGACGTTATGAGTTCATATCTTTTAATCCGTGAATTTTTTAGAAATCATCCCCTATGGAAAAGTTGTAGTATGAAACATTATCTTCATTTTTTATTATTGGAGCAAGAAAAATGGTGGCTTGATGAAGAAGTTACAAGCTTACAAAGTAGTGCACTTGAACATGAGAATTTTGATACTTAGTGAATTTTCCAACTTACCCTTTTTACAAGTAACCTCCAGCTTTGTGTTTTCCCTTGATCAAATGGCTTCATCAATCATATTTTCATGATCCTTTGCTTAAGAAACCCTTGGTTAACCAATAACTCCAAAAGTCAAACCTTTGACTTTGTGGATGACTTTGTACCAGATGAATCCAAATTGTCCAATTTCAATGAAATCTCTTGAATATGATGCAACCCTTAGCATGTTAAGATGCTTTGGAGATTATGAGGTAATGATATGATAAATTCTTGAGTGATGCACAATTGAAGACCTCAGGCCTTTAATTCTTGATTTTGTATCTGATTATCATAAATGAATGTGGAGCTTGAACCACTAAGGAATACACATGTTCTTGATCGATCGATTGTTGGATCCTCTTGCTCCAACACACCTATCTTGTATAAGAAACAAACACAACAAGACAAAACCTTTTTATTCTTATGAGGTTAGTGATTCATAGATGAATGATATGATTTCTTAAATGATGCAAAAAGGAGGTGGGATCTTAGGTCAAAAATTAGGGTACAACATAGGGGCCGATGTGCATGTGTTTGTTTGCGTGTTAATGTTGAATGTCATGATTATGCATGTTAGGGATTAGTGAAGCATTGCTATATGGTGATTAGCAGCAATTTTTTATGTGCTATGTTTCCAAGATGGAATATGATCCTATGGTGAGGGTCAAGGAGCAAGATGGACTCGAGTTATCCATAAATGATACCACATACATATGCATTGAGTTGTATATTGTGTTGCATTGCATAAATGGGTTGTATGCGTAATTATAATTGTGTATGGTGTTGATGTGGGTGTGAGAATATTATTGTGACATGATGTTATGTAGTTGTTGTTAGAACAATGTTTGAATCTACTACCCTATATTTGAGTTTTGATGATAACAAAGTGAAAAGATATAGTATTTATAAGTTTCATGAATGAACTATCTGCTGCCTAAAATTATTATGTTCTGACTTGCAGATACTCTGATTGACATAAGCAAGATCACGTTTATTCAGCATCAGAATTTGATTTCATACACCAGCATCAGAAGTTGCTACATCAGAACGTCAAGATCAGATGATCAACTCACGTACATGTTGAAGCTTGATGAACAAGACTGCGCTCAAACACTCTGATACAGAAACACAATAGTTCATCAGCAGCGAAGCAGAATCAGAATGAGCCAAGCCAGAGCGTGCATTGAAGAAGCAACGGTACTGTGCATTGAACGCTAATTAATTCCAACGGCCTCATTCCAGACAAGATCTGCTCAAAAAGGAAAGCTTGTTATTAGCATTGAATCAAGAATATTGCATTCAAC